CTTTGAATAATGGAGAAATGTATACATAGAACTTAAACATGTAAAAATGCACTATAAAAAAGTGCTGCTAGCTTAGCAAAGTCACATATGTATTTGTAGACAGCTGATCTAAGAGGACATCTTTATTATCGCCAACCAAGAGAAGGCCACCTGATCATCTGCTCAAGCACAGACTAGTTCCCATAAGTGCTAGCTCCCAGTAATTGCATATACAACACGTTTGAGGTACAACCTTTTGGGGAATGGGATATTTCATTTTTTTGTTTAATGAGCATATATTCTGTATGCTAGGCACTATATTAAGAAATCTAATTGTAATAACTCAAATTGTGAAACATTGAAATGCACATGATAGATAATTTCAACACTGTCTTATAGCACGTCTATGGTATACAGGAACAGAACCTTGGTCTTCTGCTTTTCCAATATTCCGGGCTGCCTTGGTTAAAATTCTGCTGATAATTTACGTAAAATTGCTAGGTTGATTTTGGGTTATGAATATTACCCTTGGCAGGCTGCTTCCAAATTACCATATAATTGTATGTTAATTATCATATTCCTCATACTGCAAATGAACTTATAGAGGAAATATAATTATAGCTACTAGATTCTAGACTCTGGGAATCAGGTGATTCAAACTGGCTCTTTCTCTCATAATTCTGTAGGAGCATATCATAAAAGAGGAATGGTATTTCCCACCACAGTCCCAGCTGGTAATTCTGATTGTCCCATGATTTCACAGCTGCAAATCAGCCCCCAATCACACTTGTCTCTGGCAATGATCCTTTCCTTAATTAGAACATGACTTAGACTTTCGTCTTAACTTATCTGTTGCCTTGGCCCTAGGCTACTTGAGTATAGGCTGGGTTAGTTGGAAAAGAAAATCTACTTGAACATAGGTCTGTTTGCCCTAATATTGAACAAAGTGAAGAGCCATTTGTCCGGTTGATGAATTTACTTTATTTAGCAAATGAATTTATTTTCTTAGACAACTTCTCTCTCTTACAATCTAGTCTTGTGTCTAGGCTTTATATTTGCGGTGTTACTTTTACAGTTCTTATACCTCCCCCAACTTGGGTATGGTCTCTAGAAAAAGTCACTAGGCCTTGTCCAAGCCTGTATGTGACAGCATGTGGGGTGTGATGTGAGGAGCAGGCAAGGCCTTCCTCTAAGGCAGCAGGCAGGTCAAACTTAATATTGTCCTTTCCTCCTTTTTTTAAAAAAACTTAAATTTTCAGGGTAACCTGTCACTTCTCTGAGTGGTTAAGTCACACAGATGAGAGCTTTCCTCTAGAAGTCTATGTCAAAATACATGTATATTAGAGAGAAAGGTATACTTAAAGAAATGTGATTTCTGGCATTCTTTCTGCTCACCTTACGTTTTAGATGCATTCTCTTGGAAAGGCACCAATAGAAGCTAAATAGAAGGTACACAGAAAATGAGGATAGGGTGAAATGACAGAAAAAGTAAACATTTTATTTTTCAAATGACAAATATTCATTAAGCATCTACAATGTACATGGATTTAATATACTAGATAGTTGGGGAAGATATAAAAGTGATGCAAAATCTGCTTCCATGAATTCTGAGAGATAATCTGTGAGCCCGTATCTATATGTGAATCTATATATTTCACATATAGATTTGTGAAACAGGTAACAGTGCTATTTGGTATGTGAAGAAGTGCTGAAAACAGACAGTATTTGCTACAGAATCCTCTCACAGAGGGCATGATATTAGAGTGGTATAGATAGTTAAGGAGGAACCTCAGGTTTATTATTATTCTGTATAATCACAGGTGGCTTGGAATTGTACTGTATATAGTGTTTAGTGGAGAAAAGAAGGAAACAAATTAGGCTACAATCAAATATTTACTTTGAGCAACTGAAGACAGGAGTTGAGACTGTATCTTATGGGCTCTAGACAGCCATCTGCTATGGTCTGAATGGTTTTGTCCCATTCCCCAAATTTCATGTTGAAACTTAAATCCCTAATGCAACAGTGTTGTAAAGTATGGCCTTTTGGAGGTGACTGAGTTTTAAGGGCTCTGCCCTCATGAATGAGATTAGGAGCCCTTATAAAAGGGCTTGGCAAAAGGAATTTGACCCTTTTTGCCCCTTCTTGCCCCTTCACCTTCTTCTATGAGGACAGAGCTTTTCTCCTCTCCAGAGGAGGAGGTGTTCAAGATGCCATCTTAGAAGCACAGATGGGATGTTTACCATACAACCAAATCTGCCATGCCTTGCTCTTGAATTTTCCAGCCTCCAGAATTGTGAGAAAATAAATCTTTGTTCTTTATAATTTCTTATAATTCATAATTACCCAGTCTGTAATACTTTGTTACAGCAGCATAAACAGACTGTGACAGTTAATACTTAGTGTCAACTTGATTGGATTAAAGGATGCAAAGTATTGATCATGGGTGTGTCTGTGAGGGTGTTGCCAAAGGAGATTGATATTTGAGCCAGTGGGCTGGGAAAAGCAGATCCACCCTTAATCTGGGTGGGCACCACCTAATCAGCTGCCAGTACAGGTAGGATATAAAGCAGGCAGAAAAACGTGAAAAGACTAGGCTGGGCCTAGTCTTCTATCCTACATCTTTCTTCTGTGCTGTATATTTCCTGCCCTTGAGCATCAGACTCCAAGTTCTTTAGTTTTGGAACTCAGACTGCCTCTCTGCTTCTCACCTTGCAGATGGCCTATTGTGGGATCTGTGATGGTGTGAGTTAAAACTTAATAATCTCCTCTTTATATGTATATATTATTAGTTCTGTCCCTCTAGAGAACCCTGACTAATATACATACTAAGACACCATCCCAGCTAGATGTCTGAATAGAAAAATAACAAGATAAAATGGATGTCTTAGGAAGAATTGAGGTGATGGTGTATTTGAGATAGGAGACACTGCAGGAGAAAGGACTGGTTAGGCAAAAGCAGAAACGCAAATTTGTTTAAGACAGTAATCTTAAAAGAAAAACTTCAACCAAATTAAATTTAAAGGAGTTTGAGCAATGAACAATTCATGAATTGGGCAGCCTCCCTAGCCAGAGTAGGTCTGAGACTCCAGTGCAGCCACAAGGTGGAAGATGATTTATGGACAGAAGAAGGAAAGTGACGCACAGAAAACTGAGGTACTGAGATACAGAACTGGCTGGACTGGTTACAGGTTGGAGTTTGCCTTATTTAAACAAGGTTTGAACAAATGACTACATTTGATTGGCCAAAACTCAGTAATTGACACAAGTATAGGCTATGGTCTGTTTACACCTCCACTTGTTATAGCTCACGATATACAGAGAAACCTTTAGGCTGAACTTAAAATATATTAAGGAGGCTGCTTTAGGCTAAACTTCATTTAACAGTAACTAGGGATGAAGGTGAAAGAAAGAATTTTAAACGACTGCCTGGACTTGGAAAATTATTGAGATGAAGAGGCAAAGAAGACAATGAGGTTTCCAGCCTGAATGACTCAGCTTCCAGCGGGTGAGGGTGACCTAGTGTCAGCTAGGTGACTTAGTAAAAGGGAAAGTCCCAGATCTCAGTAAGTATAGGTAGATATTCACAGAATTGTAAAGCTGGAAAGGGCTCTAGAGATCATCTATTTTAGATCCTCTATTTTATAAGAGGACAACTAAATCAAAAGAAAGGTCTGTGACTCAGCCCAGGGCAGTGAGCATGGAGTAGGGCCATAATGTAGCGGCACCCACATCCTCTCCCACGGGGCCATCCTGCTTGCTTCCTCATCCTGACCATGTAGCTCTCTGGACAGTGGCTCTCAAAGTCTGAACTGAGGATAATTTGGCCTGTCTGCAGCCAAATTAGGCAAAATAAGGGAAACAGATAATTTTTCAAAAAGCTAATCATTTAAGAAATCAACCTTTACTCTGTAATTAATCTAAATTCCTCAGTTTTTGTTTCGTTTTATTTTATGGATAATCTTTAAAACCCGCAAGTCCGAGAGTCATTTCTCTGTAGGATGGCAAGTTATGTGTGAGCTCTCTTTCCCAAAGCACAACAGCAGGGGGTAGAGATGCAGCCACAAAAAGGATGATAACACAGTGTTTTCCTGGCTCTGCCCCCATCCCCACTTGCCAGGATTACAGCCATGTTCCCTTTGTTGTAATTCTCTTTCGACAGGGGTGGGCAGGAGTCGCCGACAGAGGGATGGGGGCGGGTGAGCGGCACCCACCGCCCAGAGCTCTGAATCGGTGTCCCTCGGCCGGAGACCAAGGCTCGGTGTTGGCAGCCGGGGCGTGGCCATCCAATCCTGATACAGCCCTGCGGGATTTCTTTAATCCTTAGTCACACGGGCGGCACACCGCACATGCGGCTTCAAGCCCCCTCCCCAGCTCATCGCCTTCGCGTAACGTCGCCCGAGCCCCCCACAGAAGCAGACCCTGGTGGGCTGCCCCGTCCCAGCTCCAGAGAGGCTCCGCTGCCCGCCGGGATCCAGGGCCGGGCTGCCTCCCGGGGGAGCTCAAACCCGACAGGGGATAACGGGCCACAGCCCCGTCTCGGCTCTAAGTCACGGGCCTGGGGCAGGCTGCGTCGGCCGGCGGGAAGGCCGGTGGCGGCAGTCACCGAGGGTCCAGCAAGGGCTGGCCCGTTTCCTCCGCAAACGAGCTAACGCGAAAGCAGGGCCCCGGAGTCAGGAAATCGGGGCTGCTTCTCCTTCGACCGGCGGCGAGAACGAGTCATGTTACTTGGGCCCGTTACCTCAACTGCAAAATGAGGGGTCTAGGATTCCCTGTAGGAATGCAGGATTCTAGAATCGAACAGGGTTGGTAGCCCCGCCGGGGCGGAGCCTCACCGGGCGCCGCGGGGATCCAACGGCAGGACTCGCGGCGGCGGGGGCCCCCTCCGGACCCTGGTCTCCGCCACGTCGCTGCGGGGTCGGAAGGCAGCGTGCGCGTCCCCGCCGGGCCTGCGTGCGCGTCTCCGCCCAGCGGCCGGCCGGAGCCGGGCCGGGTGGGCGGGGCGCAGCGGGGCGGGGCGCGCGTGGAGGGTGGCTGCCTCTGGAGCAGGCCGGCAGGAGAGGAGAAAAGGCGGCGGCTCGACTCGGGGGTAGGGGCGGAGGAGGCAGTCCGGACGGCTGTGTGCGGCACGGAGCGTCGTCCAGACAGCGCGGAGCCAGCTGGGCACGGCGGCCAGGGCGGCTAGGGCCTGGGCCGCGGTTCGGCCGCGCCGGCCGGTGAGTGTCGGAAGGCCCGCAGGGGAGGCCGGCGGCGTCCGCGCTGCGGCGGGCATGGAGGCGGTGGCCGGGCAGTGTGAGGCCCGCGACCGGGACCGAGGCGCCGGCGCTGGCGGCCGTGGGGTCGGAGGGCCCGACCTGGAGCGGAGGAAAGGCGGCAGACCCCGGTCAGTTTGCGTCCCGGGGCGGCGGTCCGGGCGCGCTGCTGTCCGCGCGCGGCCGCCTGCCGGGCCAGCAGTGAGGTCAGCAAATGGCGACCCAAGCCCCGAGGGCACCGACCTCCGTGTCCCCCGCGTTTGTGTGTCTGTGTAAAGACCGAAGGAGTTAAACTTAGGGAACCCTTAAGCTTCTTGTTCCGTCTGGCTTTCAAAAACTTGGGTTCTTTGGGGACAAACGGGTTAAAGAGACCGGGGAAGCATCGTCCACAGTCTGCACGGGATGAGCAAAGTTGGTAACTTTTCCATTCATGGAAGTGAGAGGATCTTAGCCTTAGCCTCGGTTCCTATTAAAGGGAAACTTCCTTATTTTGCAGACCTGAGGTTGTGTTGTGTCCTGCGCCTTAGAAGTACTTTGCTTGGAAGGGGTTTATAGAGCGCGTGCTGGATTCAGAGTAATTTGACAGTCTGTTTTTAACGGGTGTGTTTGGGAGTATAGAAGCAAAACAGTGTGTGTTTACCATGGTTCTGACGTACTCCACTTACCTCTACCTTTCTCTTGTTTTGTTTTTTGAGCCCTGTCGTACGTCCCAGATAAAAGTTGCCTGGGAACGAATTGACCTTTTATTCCATGATTACTTCGTTGACTCTGATCCAAGATGGAGTTATTTATGGGCATTCTGATATCGGTGTAGGTTAATTTAAAACTCTTTTGATACAAAACCCCAAACTGTAAATTTTTATTTCTATTTGCTAAATTTCAGTACTGTTTGTTCCTTAGAGACCTATGTAAATTATATTAACAGGTCTTGCATTTGCTCATACCAAGGTTTTCTAAAACAGTCAAATTGTTGACATGGCAAAAGGAAAAGAGTAGCATAAAATAAACCTTTAGGATTTTTCAGAGGGTTAGATTTCAATATGCGGTTTCCGCTGAATCACTCTTCTTCATGCTTAGTCACTGTTTCTCATCACAGAAGTGTAATTGGGGATAACATTGTGTTTTCCTAACTTTTTTATTTGCCAGTTTGTTTTTACCTAGTACTTTAATGCCGTGACATAACTTTTTTGTTTTTTAATTCTGGAAATGGTGGAGTTTCGTGAATGCTGTAAAAGAACTGAAGTTTCCAATATAGGCAAACTTTAATGTATTCCAAGTGTACGAGGTATTTAATTTCAATCCAGTATTTCTCCTAGTCTAACATTGGGAGACTTCTTCTAAAAAGTGTCTTTAATATACCATTAAAAAGCAATATTATATAAGTAATGATAACGTGTATAGAGAGGTACTTTAAGGTCACCAAAATAGGCATTGGTTAATGTTTACTGTTTGATATAACATGTTTCTAAGATGAGAATATTTAATGGATAAGCCCTTTGCTATTTTGTGTGGTTTTGGATAAATTTTTTAATTGAGTTGCTAAGACTGCTTATTTGATAAAAGGAGTTAGTACATACTATGGAATGTCATTGTATTTATAAAATTTGTTGACATTAAACAATTCAAATGCTGTGTAAAATATAAATTCAAATTCAGTGTAATGAAATACATGAGATTGGCCTTAGACAAGTTGCTTCTGTATTTTAAGTAGCTAGATGTTAGATACAGACAGGTGTACCTCAGTTAAAACCCAGTATGTGAAAGTCTTTCATGAAAAAAAAAAAACAAAACTTTTTTTAAAGCATGGGTAATGTTATTACTAGGTAGTTCCTCATATGATTGCATTTAATAAATTACCTCATCAAAATAATTACTCCACATTTTAATGTATTTAAGTGTAGCTGTTGTGCAAATTGAAGTACCTCTGGTTTCTGAGACATGCTTATATCCTATTGGACACACTCATAATTGTAAACAATCTTAGTAGAGTTCTAGATTGTTTGCAGAGTACAGTAATTGCCTCAAGGTCACAAAGCTGAGACTTCTTGGAGGCCCATTTCCCAATGTCATGTTACCTGTTTTAATAAACAGTTCTGCCATTTGGGTGGATTACTTTTGTCTGAGTATCAACTCAAATAGATTCTAGTCCAAGTATTAAGTATTTATTAATACTATTTCAATTTCCCATGTAAGTTTATGATGATTTCATTTGCTTATTTAGTGGATAACATTGAAAGTAGTTAGACTTCACTTTCGAATAAGCTACTCATGACCATGACCCTATTTAGAAATGGAAGATACATGTTTTGATTATACTATATCTGGAACAATAAAACTTGAAAAAAATTTCTATATAATTAGGTCATCCATTTTATAAATAAAAAGAATGAAAGTTTAATAAAAGAATGTATATATCGTAGTCCATTTAGCCATTTGGAACTGAAAGCTAGTGCTTCTAGTTGGGAATTTAAGGATAATGTATTTTTGATCTTGTCTAACCACCACCCCCCTGCCCCGCCTCTTTTTAAACAGTAAGATAAGATGCCTGAGGTATAGATTTATTATGATAAAGCTGAGTGCATCTGATAAACAGATTAGTCAGCAGAGGTGCTATACAAAGATTGATACTTTACAAAGAATGAGATTTGCACTGCAAGAGTTTATAAGTTATTGCTAAATTTATAAATTGTTAAATTTAGTAATGTAATGTTCCATACACTTATACTGAGCATTATCAATGCAAATTATTCTTCAATTTTGAAATTTTATTTGTAGACTTGTAATAATGGTTAATTAATTGAACAAATCTGTCTATAGTTTTATATCAGACTTACATTGGAATAGTATGTAACCGTTATAAGTATATTTCATCTAATACCATATTACTTATAATATTAACCTGTAGGCTGTTAGCACTTCCTATTTTGAACTTCGTTTTCTCAGTCTCTACCCTATTCAGGTACCTTTGTGCAAACTTTAACCCCTGCCTTTCTTTTTAAACCCACTGCTTCTATATTCTTTTTTTTCCTGGTAATTGGACTTCACGGTTGATTAGGGAATTATAATATTTGATAAATATAAGGTAAATGTTTCCTCCTGATTCTTCTATTATTGTTATTTAAGATTTTAAAACAATGGAAGGTTGAAACTAACTTTCTTTGATTTGCTTTTTTGATAGATGATTTGTCTCACTCCATAGGTAGTGCCTGGAACATATTACTTATGTGCTCAACAAATGTTGAGAGTACCATTGACTTTTTCTGGCCAGTACAATGAAGTAATTTTGATTCAGTTTGATTGATGCCAGATCTGTAACGCTGTATTTTTATGTGGAATATATAATTTTCCATGAAATGAAGAATATCATTTGTTTTGGAATCCATTTCATTATTTTCGTGTATTATAATTCTTTGTGTATGTAATACAAATAATTCTCTAACTGAGGCACAATTTTGAATGTAGGGAACATAAGATGAACGAGACAGAGATGATTCTGACCGTCATGGAGCTTATAGTTTTCCAGTGGAAATAGATAGTAAACAGAATGATGATTTACTTAAAGTTTCACTAGTATTACCAAGGAAAAATGGAGTGTGTAATGAGTATACACAATATGGGATCCATACCTTGTCTTTGGGGTATGTGGAAAAGTAACACGCCGAGATATAGGGTTGAAGCAGCAGGGCATGTGAGGAGGGAAAGAGGTAGAGGCAGACATTAGGAACAGCCCTGAGGCAGCAGGCTGTTTTGAATACATTAGATGACTCTTAGCAGATTTTAAAATCATGCTAATTTACAATTCTTTATATCTCCTTATCTCTTTATGTATTTTAATTAATTTGAAAAAAATAATTTTCTGAGGGCAATATATTTATGCCTTTAATGACAATGGGAAAAATGCCATGTCTTAAAACTGTTTTTATGGATTGCTTGTCAGCCACAGAGTATAAGTTGGCAAAGAACTTCTGTTAGAGAAAATTGAAAGCATTGAAAGCATTTCATGATTTACGAATATTTTCTGGTCCAGTGAAACTTTTCTAGTAATTTAAATTCACGTGTAAATTAATAGATGTTAGTTGTTTTCTACTGTGCCTGCTGTGTCACTGTTCAACGAATAAATAAGGAGTTGATGTTTTTAACCCCATTTTACAGGATTTATAAGCAACTGCAAATTTATAGGCATGTTTAATTTGATAGTAGTGGTCTTGCTTAGGAGGAGGATGAATCAAGGAGAGTTTTAAATTCTGAAGCTGAGGATTCTATTCCCAGAATACTCTTTTGGTATTGACTACTGTATTTTCTATTTTCTTAATATAGTTATCAGGAAAATGGAATTGATCTTGACTTCTCATTTGTATGGCTATTTTAAGAATTGTTAAATTTAGTAATGTAATGATGTTCCATACACTTATGCTGAGCATTATCAATGTAAATTATTCTTCAAATAATTTAAAACATATATTCAAAGCAGAGTAAAACGCTATTATAATTAGAAGGGACCAAAAGACTTTCTTGACCACAGGAGTGATTAAATGTTGGGATAAAACTACAAGCAAAGTTGTGTAATCTCCATTCCTCACATAACATCTTAAGATTGGATCACCAGTTACAGAGTGCTGCCCTAATTTCTTAAACTTTTATAAGTAAACATAACTGCTATTGTCCATGGATGTTGATCCGACGTAGAGCTAGAACATAGAGTCCTAGTTCTGCCACTTACTAGGTAGATGACTTTGGGCAAATCACTTACTCTTTCTGAACCTCAGTTTCCTCCAGGTTGTTATAAAGATGTGTAAAGAAGGATAAAATAGTACATAATTACTGTTCTCTCTTCTTTATTCCTTCTAAGTCTGCTTCAGTAAATAATAAATACTATGAACTTGTTGCCTTTTTTAAACCTTATTCAAAGGGGATTGGGTAGTGTAAAATAGACTATTTGAAGCTTGATTACTTTCCTTCTATCTTTGAAAATTATTGCTGTTTTTGTCTTTAACTGAGACACTGTTTCAAGCAGTTGCTATTTTAAATGCTTTTGAATTAAGTGATGTTTTTAAGATGTGTTTTGCCTGTTGGTGTCATGTGATTGATGGTGTGTACAGTAACATGAAGTGTCCCTAAAAGTTCTGAGAGCACTGGTTACTTCGTTGAAACTGCTTGTATTTTTAGGTTTCTCCCTTAGTAATAGTCAAACTTGTAAACGTTATCATGTGACATCAGCTCAGTCTGGTTCTTGCAAAATAAGAAAGCTACAGCTGTTTTCACTATCTAATCACTCAGTAAGATTTGTTGTAATTCTTAATAAAATTTTTCTTTAAATGTCTGGTTTAACATACAAATGTTTGTCGTTAATCTTTTACTTCTATATGACTATTTTAGTATGTCTATTTTTATAGTTCTGTACTTATCTTAAAATTTATGAAGAGAAACATTTAAAGGTATTTAACTCGTAATTTGTGACTTTTAACACCATTTTTAAAAATACAGTTTGGTGTTGAATGTGTACCTTGTCATTTCTTTGGCATTATTGAACACCATAATATCAGCTTGGAACTTTTCTACTGAACCAAGAAAAGCTCTATTGATGATGATTTAGGTACACTTTTGTTATTCTAGTTTGAGAAAACTTGTGCCTCAACTGAGAAAAAGATAATAACGGCCAGGTGCGGTGGCTCATGCCTGTAATCACAGCATTTTGGTAGGCCAAGGTGGGCAGATCATGAGGTCAGGAGATTGAGACCACCTCTGGCTAACACGGTGAAACCCCCTCTCTACTAAAACTACAAAAAATTAGCTGTCCCTGTAATTTCAGCTACTCAGGAGACTTGACTGAGGCAGGAGAATCACTTGAACTCAGGAGACAGAGGTTGCAGTGAGCTGAGATCATGCCACTGCACTCTAGCCTGGGCGACAGAGCAAGACTCCATCTTAAAAAAAAAAAAAAAAAAAAAAAGATAATAGCAAATGATGAGTGAATAATTGGCTACTTGGAGCCAAGATAGGTTTTATGGAAAAATATGTTAGAGACTTAACAATCTTTTATGCACTGAGGTGAAGAAAACAGGGTAAGAATCACCTTCCTGTCCAGAAAATTACTGCCTACTATAATGTAATTTAATTATGGAAAAGTTGAGCTGAGTTGCCGGTTCCATATACAAGTAGAAATATAAGTAATTCATTGTGGAGATCTAGAATTTGGAAGAAGAATCTGGGCAGGATGTATAGGTGGATTTTCAGCATAGGTGTGGTAATTGAAACTTTTTGAGAAGATGAAAGCATCTAGGGAGAATGTACAGAATAAGCAAAAAATGACATGAGCCCTGAAGAAATGCAATCTTGAAGTAATTATTATTAAGTAATAGTTAAGAAGACTAAGGGTAGGAGGAAGACTGGAGTGACATCATGAAAAGTAAGAAGATGTAATACTCCAAAAATAAAGGATTGGTCATCATCACAATATAATGGGCAAGGAAGATGGGGTCCGAAAAAATATGTCCTTCAGATTTAGTATTGCGGTTCTCAGTAGAGTGGTTTTAATAGGTGTAGTAAAAACAGAACCAGAATAGAGAGTTAATGGATATATAGGAGATTAGAAGATTTTTGGTGGTTTTTAGTTTTTCTTCAGAAAGCTTAACTGGATAAGAAAAAAAATGGTGGCAAAACGGAGTGGGGGACATTATGTTATTATTTCAATTATTGTTTTTTGAGATTGAGTCTCGCTCTGTCACCCAGGCTGGAATGCAGGAGTGCACAATCATGGCTTACTGCAGCCTCAGTCTCCTGGGCTCAATTGAGTCTCCTGCCTTAGCCTCCCAAATAGCTGGGACTACAAGCACATGTCACCATGCCTAATTTTTTAGCTTTTGTTTTGTAGAGACAGGGTCTCGCTATGTTGTCCAGGCTGATTTTGAACTCCTGGCCTCAAATGATTCTCCTATCTTGGCCTCTCAAAGTGCTGGGATTGCAGGTTTGAGCCACCATGACTATTATTTCAGTTTTTAAAGATTAAATAATCTTTTAAAGATTTTACTGATAATAGGAAACACTCCAATAAAGAAGTTGATTATACTGAAAACACATTGAATTAGCTCAATAATTATAATTAAGTCAATATATTATGCTTATACTTTTACTTTTGATATAAAACTTTTCTTTGTAAAAGTTACAATGCAAATTTTCAAGAAAGACCATTAGACATCTGTAATCTGTTCATGTTATTTTATAGAACTATTTCTCTGCTTCAAATTCTCAGTGAATTCCAGTTGTAAAAGTGTGAACTCTTTAATTGCTGTACCAAACACAGTGCCTGGTACATAATAGTTAAATAATAAATAGGCATTTAATGAATGAATGTGAACCTCAAAAATAAGTGATGTGCCCATGCCACAGAGCTTGAGCTAGAACTTTTATTTTCTGGATAAATTTTTTGTATGTTCTAATTAAGATTTGATTTGTTGCAGAATTTATTAAGGCATATATAGGAGGAGGGATCAATAGATGAAATCTTAAATGAATTCATTTAGAAGGAATAAAAAGAAAACTTCTAAAAGTTTTGATTAAGTATATTCATAAAATTCAGATTGTTCTCTTTTAGTAATGTAAGATCTCTGAAATGTGGTATACATCAAAATTAGTTGAGTTGAAATTAGAAAGGTAAAAGTGAAAACACTCTGAAATCTAAAAGTTAAAATACACATTAACTTGTTATTAACATTATATAATACACAGTATTAGAATTTATAGTAGTATAGTTTGAAACTTTTGCCGTTTTAGGCATATTGTTACAAAAATATTAGCCTTTATGACATTCTACAGTATTGAATTGTAACTTGATATAAATGCTTACATCCTTTCAAGACATTTATTATATATAAAATTAACTGGTTAAGTATGTTTATTTTATATACATCATCCTAAAATAAACCAAGATATTAGATACATTAGGGATTTACTTATTAAATAATTTTGAAAAATCAACCATTTTTTGGCTAACTCCTTATCTTTTTCCATTTCATTGACCAGAGCTGGACTGGCCATTATGGAGGAGGAGCTGCAGCATTCACATTGTGTGAATTGTGTCAGTAGACGGTGTATGACCAGACCAGAGCCTGGGATTTCCTGTGATTTGATTGGTTGTCCATTGGTTTGTGGTGCCGTTTTCCACTCTTGTAAAGCCGATGAGCATCGACTTTTATGTCCATTTGAACGAGTGCCTTGCTTAAATAGTGACTTTGGATGTCCATTTACCATGGCCCGAAATAAAGTTGCTGAACATCTAGAAATGTGTCCTGCAAGTGTGGTGTGCTGTACTATGGAATGGAACCGATGGCCAGTTAGTTATGCAGACCGAAAATCCTATGAAAATCTAAGCAGAGATGTTGATGAAGTGGCACAGTTAGATATGGCCTTGGCTCTTCAAGACCAAAGAATGCTCTTAGAATCTCTCAAAGTAGCCACCATGATGTCAAAAGCAACTGATAAAGTTTCCAAACCTAGAGAACAAATCTCAGTTAAATCAAGTGTCCCAGAAATACCACATACTAATGGTTTGGTGTCTGTTGATGAAGAATCTTATGGTGCACTCTATCAAGCTACTGTAGAAACAACCAGAAGTTTGGCTGCTGCTTTGGATATCCTGAATACTGCTACAAGAGACATTGGCATTTTAAATACAAGTGTCTGTGCTTCCCCAAATGAAATGGGTAAAGAGCAAAATGCAAGAGAAAGCTTACAGGATCAAAACTTGAAAGACCAAGATCATCTTTTTGAGGAGGAGATAGGAGCAGTAGGTGGAATTGACCACAATGACACAAGTCAGAATGCCCGGTCTGAACAAAATGGTTCAAGTGATTTATTATGTGACCTGAATAGAAGTTCTTGTGACACTTCTGCTCTTTGTAATGGCTTTCCTTTGAAAAATATATGTGCACAGGTCATAGACCAGAATCATAATTTACATGGTGATTCAAAACAAAGTAACTTAACAAATGGAGCCTGTGTGGCATCAGATGGCACTTCAAAACCTTCCAGCTCACTTGTGGTAGCAGCACAACTTAGGGAAGTAATACCACCCAGTGCTTTGCTTAATGGCACAGTTCAGCATATCCTTATACCCGATGATGAGGATGAAGGTGAATTGTGTTGGAGAAAAGTAGACTTAGGGGACTTGAAGAATATGGATGTCTTATCTTTCAGTTCTGCTCCTTCATTCAGTTTTCTTTCTAATTCATGTTGGTCTAAACCAAAGGAAGATAAAGCAGTAGATACATCAGATTTGGAAGTTGCAGAAGATCCCATGGGCCTCCAAGGAATAGATCTGATCACAGCAGCATTGCTATTTTGTCTAGGAGATTCTCCAGGAGGGAGGGGTATATCTGATAGCCGCGTGGTTGATGTTTATCACATTGACTTTGGGACTCAGACTTTTTCACTTCCATCTGCAATATTAGCTACAAATACAATGGTTGGGGAAATAGCTTCAGCTTCAGCTTGTGATCATGCCAATCCACAGCTTTCAAATCCAAGTCCATTTCAGACACTTGGGCTGGATTTAGTATTGGAATGTGTCGCTAGATACCAACCCAAGCAGCGTTCAATGTTTACCTTTGTGTGTGGACAGTTATTCAGAAGGAAAGAATTTTCCTCCCATTTTAAGAATGTGCATGGTGACATTCATGCTGGACTCAATGGCTGGATGGAACAGAGGTGCCCTTTAGCATACTATGGTTGTACCTATTCTCAGCGTAGATTTTGTCCATCAATACAAGGAGCGAAGATTATCCATGACCGCCATTTGAGGTCATTTGGAGTTCAGCCATGTGTATCTACAGTATTAGTAGAGCCTGCTAGAAACTGTGTATTGGGATTACATAGTGACCATCTAAGTAGCCTTCCTTTTGAGGTCCTGCAGCATATTGCAGGCTTTCTTGATGGCTTCAGTTTATGCCAGCTCTCATGTGTATCCAAGTTAATGAGGGATGTGTGCGGCAGCCTGCTTCAGTCTCGTGGCATGGTCATACTGCAGTGGGGGAAAAGGAAGTATCCAGAAGGAAATTCATCGTGGCAGATAAAAGAAAAGGTTAGTTTAATCTTTATCAACCTCTTATTTGACATAAAGAGGCCTTTAATAATGCTGCTGAATTAATACAATTAATATCTTGTTGAGAAATTCACCATTCCCTAAAACTTACTAAATCAATATGATGACAGACTTTGTTTTAATGGTAATTAATCATGAGCTAGGATAGTTAGAATTGTTTTCCATAATTATAGCTTTACTACTGATTTCCTAGAACTAGTTTATAATCTAATATGGCAGAGACCACTTACGTTTCTTAATGTTTCTATAGCAACTCTTCATTTGGGTTCTTGTTATCATCTTCTAATTTGGACTCCATCTAAAACATTTTCGCCATAAGATAATAGAGGAAGCAAAGAGAGGGTTTTCTCCCCTCTTGTAATAGTCTCTCCATTCTATGGCAATTTTGTTCCTAGGATTTGGTTGTTTCAGGTATAATCTAAATAGCAAGAGATGAGGAAAGTTATAACTACTACTATGGTCATATATCAAAGCGAGCAGAGAAGTATATGGAGAATAAGAAACATAAATGGATAAATGAGGAAATACGTTAGGCCAGTCTGAGAAGAGGAGGGCAGTAGAATTTGATATTGTGGGTGGGGTCTCTGGGTTTAGCAGAGTCCAAAGGAGTGATGTGTACTGCATGGGAAAACTTGAGCTAGAGATTTAGGCAGACCTAAGCAAATCCAAGCTATACCATTTTCCTTCTGTGATAGCCTACTTTTGCTCAGCTTCTATTTGGCACTACTCAGTAGGAACTGGAAGGTATTACAGATACCTTTGATTGAAGGTTGTTTTTATTTTTAAATTTTAGAACACTTATATGAAACTTTTACATTTTATAAAGTGGAAACAATTGTGATAAACTTTACATTTAGTTGCACAGCATTCAAACTCTGGTTACTTTATTCATAGCACCTTTAGGTTTTCTTTCATCCATTGCACTAATTTTTCAGAATTCTACATCTACTTGGTTTTCTTGAGGCTTTGACCAATAAATGATCTCACAAATTGTTTTATGATTTTTTTTTCCAAAAGGAAATTTCTGATGGCAGAAAGTTTCTACTGCTTGTGTTTGTATTTTTCATATGATTTTATATCTAACTTTTCTTCCCTTTGGGTTGGAACAGTCTTAGTATGGCCTCTTTTTATCTTTGCCTACTATTATTGACATATGGAGTGAAATTTTTTTGGCGGTAGGGATTCTATAATCATTCCTACAGAAAATCTCACCTGTTCTTCAAATGTAACTCACCATCGTATGTACAGATTACTCACACATATGTATCCTGGACATTTGCTTCACTGAACTCCCAAGCAGTATATACAAGCATCTACTGGACATTTCTACTTGAATACCCTACAGCTTCCTCAAACTCAACAAATCCAACCTACTCCACTCTTCCCCCTTTTAGTATGAGAAAGTGGCACCATCATCACCAAGTTTTCTAAACCAGGAACTTAGAAGTTAAGTTGACTGCTTTTTCTCCTCCCTTTATTTTTTTTCAGGTAACCATGAAGTCCTGTTTCTTTTTCTTTTTTTAATACCTCTCAGGTTTGCTTCTCTGTTTTCACTGCCATTTCCCAAGTTCAGTCCCAACTTTAGTTGTCTCCTGGACTACAACAGCAGCTTCCTCCTAACTGGATTCCTACTTCCAGTTGGGCCCCTCTCCAATATATTCCCTACACAAGAGCTAATGTGATGTGTATTTTCTTAAATATAATTCTTGCACTGTCACCACAGTGCTTAAAAACTTCTTTAATTTTTGTTCATCGCCCTTGGATAGAGCCCAGCTCCTTAATAAAACATATTAAGACTTTTCATAATCTCATCTTTATCTTTTCACTTTCCTCCTTTCATTTTATACTGTAACCACATTGATTTACTTACAGTTCCCAGATGTTTTTTCTTACATTAAGTCCTTCAAATATGCTGTCCCTAATTCTCACACTTCAGCACCTGGAATATGCTACTCAGTGTGCATTAGTATTTTACTTATATTAACTTATATAATCCACTGTCCCCATTTTACAGACAAAGAAACAGAGGTTAAGTAATCTGGCCAGCTAATTGACTTAGGAAACCGGTTTCTTGATGTTGTGATCTTCATCTTCTTGCTATGCCCTGCTTACTCTCAGGCTCTACTTCCTGATGACAGTTTCTTGGGACTCCCACCCTGAAGCCTTCTGAGAGTTGCACTGCTCTGTATTCCTGTGGTGCTCCATTATATACCTCTGCTAAAGCACTCACTGTGCTGTTTTGAAATTGATTGATGAATTGTCAGTTTCAGTCTCTAGACTGCAAATTCCTTGAGAAGTGGGATTCTTGGGAAACCAAAATACTACTGCCTTGCATAGTACCTACTATGTCATAGGCACTAAGTAAATACTTGATGCATACTTGAATGAAAGATGGATCCATTACTAAGAAACCTTGTCATAAGCAGGTGGAAGTTATATATTTTCTTTCGCCTGCTTTTCCTGAGTTTGTTTCACCAGACTCTCAGTTGTATGGAAGTAGAGAGGCTGCCTGTCATCATTGAATCTTTCAGCTATTTCATCTGCCAAAGCTTAAAGAAAACTCCTAATTCCTTTTGTAGCTTTATAAACATGGGGAATGGTAAAGGAGGCTAATGACATCTATACTATCACTAGACCTTCACTGACTCCTGGGAAATTACTCCATAAAGGTTAATTGATCATAACCCTAAGGTGTATAGGGACTACTTGTGCAGAACAATGGGGATTTTCTATAGCTAGTTGAAAAATAATTGTGTTTCCACAAAATTCAAAGACATTTAGCCACCCCAAGAAGACTACCATGCTTTCCAGAGAAGTAATAAATGCTGAGGGTTTTTCTCAAATCTGCCACTTTCTAAAGCAGGGATGTCCAATTGGTTGGCTTTTGCTGGGCCACAATGGTAGAAGAATTGTCCTGGGCCACACATAAAATAATGATAGCTGAAGAGCTAAAAAAAAAAAAAAAAAAAATTATTAAAAAAATCTCACAATGTTTTGGCGGTGTTTCATGGCCTGGAGCTGTTGAGTAGACAAAAGGGCTACTTCAGCCTATATTTTTACCTACAGACATGAATAGGGATGGCAGGTGAGTATTTTGCCTAGAAGCATGTTTTACAATGATAGGGACTAAAATAGGATCCATTTTACAAATATTATTTTTATATAAATTTTCAGAGCCATTTTGAATAAATTGAAGTACCTATGTTCTTGAATATTACTATGTATCTTTAGTACTTGTGAACAGCAGAAAAATAAGCTTACCTTGGCACACAGTGTTCTAGGGTATTTTTAGTACATATAGTGTAAATAGGAATGGGAAAGAAAAACAGTAACACTTGCATTGTCAGTATCTCCAGAGTTCTAGATAACCAGTTGGAGAGTATGAAAGAATAGTGTGCAGTATATATACTTTAGGAAATAGCTCTGAATTTGTGCAGTTTTGATGTTATAAAAATCATTTAGCAAGCCAGATTGGTGTGATTTTTTAATAGAGTTTTGGTGTTTTGTTACAGTTTTTAAGTTTATTGAAGTCACAATGTCATAGAAGTGATTTATCTTGTAATTTTTTGACAGACATATTTGCATTCAAAAGGATTTATCAATTTTTATTTTATAGTTATTTGAAATTTTATATTGGATGCTTCTATAGCAGTAGAAATGTATGCAGTAGGAGCAAAAAGTGTTTCTTAATTCTCTAAAAATTGACTTGTTTAAATCTAAAGTAGAATTTTCTTGTAGGTGTGGCGATTTAGTACTGCATTTTGTTCTGTTAATGAATGGAAATTTGCTGACATCCTAAGCATGGCTGACCACTTGAAGAAATGCAGTTATAATGTTGTCGAGAAACGGGAGGAAGCAATCCCATTGCCATGTATGTGTGTGACACGAGAACTCACTAAAGAAGGACGTTCACTACGCTCAGTTTTAAAACCTGTACTTTAAGGGTTGTAATTTTACTTGCACATATGTGCAAGCCTCTGGTATAATTTCTTTGTAATATGTGAAACCTTATTAATGTATTAAATATTACAACTAGCTAAATTTATTGTCACTATGTATATAATGTTTTGAAGTAACATCTATTTTTATAAAGTACTGTTTAGTTGGAAAAAGTTGCCTTAATGTTTGAAATGTGTGAAATTTTGGAACTTGCTGGACAGGGTGATTTAATTTTTAGCTACATAATTTTAAGAATTAGTATTTTCAATGGTGTGCATATTTTGGTTCTTACATTTTTGCATCTTAAACTAACAAAATCCTGACCAAGTTATTCCTTGTGTTCTGTGTGTGGCAACCCATGCAGTCAGAAAGCAAAACTTTGATTCAGACTTTTTACAGCACAGTTTTTTCATATAAAAACATTCTCAATTTCTTAAGCACTGCCATAAGATCATTATAATGTTTTTGTTTTTTTAGTGCTTCCCTTATACAGTTGTTAATGCACAAATGATCTCTCATATGTACTTACATATGTAAAATCATAACTAAAGTTTGGTAATGCAGTTTATCGTGTTTAAAAAATAATCCACAAAGATGTTTTCATCTCATGTACTTAGAGCTCAACACACAGAGTGACCATGTGCAGCTTTCTTTTTTGTTAGATGCCACATCCAAAGACTCAGCGCAGTGTGTTACATGACAGGTCAAAGCAAAAACAAGCAAACAAAAAGCAAGCCTGTGAATTTACTTTAATCTGAAACTGTTCATGATATTGCATATTTGCTAGGTATTTAATGTTTTAAAAGAAAATATACCTCATTTTAAGTTTGAATTGAGCATATTGTATAAATTTTAAATGTTCAGAATGCAAAAGGGCTTAACTTAAATTTTTGCCTTTTATGTTTATAAACATTACAACTATGTTGTTTTAAGACCTTAGAAACATGAAATTTGTTAATCTTTGTAAAATGACAATCATGTAGAAACCTGTCTTGGTTGACAATCTCTTTGAAAGATTTCCAAGTTAATTTCCCATAGGCTTCACCATCAAGAGAGTAAGAATTGCATATTTGCCTAATAATCAAGGTATAATGGAAAAATACCCCTACTTTTGAAATAGTTTATTATAGTTTTCAAATTGATTTATACCATTATTAACTTGATGTGGTCTGTTTAAAAAAATGAATATATCAGTAGCAAAGGTGGGGATATATACTTAAATAATTTGTCTTAAGTAAATTCTAGCATTTGGTATTCTGAAATGGCGACAGACTTACTTGTTAAAATTGTGAAAACTCTGTTGTGTCCTGTCCTCCTACATTTGTCCCTGAGAGTGCTCTATGATTACTAGCTTCTTGATACCCATATATGGCAATCAGGCAGAGGCGTTCCTTGGGCATTACAGAGTTCTGAAGCTTAAGATTTTTTTGGTTGGATCAAGTCCTTAGTACAGTTGAAAAATATAGCATTAAAGACTATTGTCTTGCCTCACCTGTCATTTTAAATAGTAGAATATTTATTTCTCAGTGCTTACAATTTCTTTTTCAACTGTGAGATTGAATAGTCTATTTCTGTGGGGAAAAAACAGAAAAAAGGTAATAAATACTATAAAATATAACCCTGCCTTTTAAAGTTTTGCTGAAGAATGTGTGGTTAGGATAGCACAAACATTTTCTGTTTTGTAGTTACGCTTTTTAAAATTCATTGTTTTTAAATTTAGAATTCTTATTTCCACACTGGATTATGAGATATTTAACAATTTTTTCACCTTATATTTCTTTTACACATTTTGCTGTTCTTTTTTGTTGTTATGCCACCATACCATTTTGTTAAAATGTTTTCTTTGTGAAACATTTGTTCAAGTTCTAATAAAATTAATATTTTTCCCTTTACATGGCTCAATAACTTAAAAACTTTCATTTAAATAAAATTTTAATACTTGTTTGACAAATTCCAACACAATCATATTGTTTCTGTAATGTGGATTTTCTGCATGTTGTAGTAGTTGTTGATTATCATCATTGCTCACCCATGTTTTACTAGTGAACCTTAATTTTTTTAAAAGATGAGAAGCCCATTCATTACCTTTCTCTGATCCTTCAGTGTGTCAAAAGTAATACCACCTAGGTGCACTGAAAGGTGGAAGAGTTTGTAGCATGGTTGTATCTCTAAAAATTGTAATGGAAACCATCTGTTGAGCCTCTTAAGCATGAAAAGGTTTGTAAGTTGCCCTAATAGATTGTACCTTGAGAACTCCTTGTTGATTCCTAGTCTTTACTAAACAGCAAGGTAAAAGGCGAACATCGGGATGGAAGGAAATACTTGAATACACTTTTATCCTCTGCCTCCTTCCCCAATCCTGCCTGTTAGCTTAATCTTTCTCCCTCTCTGTCTCCCTCTCCCTTTCCTTTCTTCTCCCTCTCTCACTCTTTTTCACTAGATTTTGAGACTCACAGATCACTTATAGTAGTGATTCCTGAAGTTGTCCTTGAACCAGCAGGAACAGCAACACCTGGGAATTTGTTAGAAATGCAGATTATTAGGCTTCTCTCCAGACTTAGTGAATCAGAAACTCTGGGGTGGGACTCAGCATTCTCTTTTAACAAGATCTCCAGGCGATTCTAATGCACAGTCAAGTATTAAAACAGCGGGAAGCCTAGGTCATGCCAGCTACCCTCTGGTGTATTACTGGAGTGGATATATGTATGTATGTGTGTGTGTGTAATATATGTGCAATCCAAAATTAAGAGTAATGGTAATATGTTAATGGTTAAACTATATATGTTGTCTCAATTTTACAGCCATATGGCAAAATACACTGGGTACTGTAGTTGTTGGACTTGTATTCTTTAAATTAGTATTCACTAGTATTAAAAAGTTTACCAGTATTTTACCAGTGTTTCTTCTGTTCAAGGTAAATTGCAGTGCAAATTTTAGTTCATTAGCAGTAACATTTAGCCTAGTCATCTCATTCTCTTGTTTAGTGGTTGCAGAGTTATGAACATATTCAAATTTTAGGATAATCAAAGAGTAGAAGTAGACAAATATTGGATTAAATCCTACAAAAATGTTTTTAGGGATTTTTTCAACCCATTAAGTAGGATGTTTAATTAAAGATTGGATCTCTTGTTTATCGGTAGTATAGAATCTTTTTTGATCTTTAATCCTGTGCTGCCTATCTCATCAGTGTTGTGCTATTAATATCTGTCCTTTAACATTGGATGTTGGGATCTTAGTAATCTTGAAGATAGTAGGATTTTCAGCAAAACTTCCATATCCTTTGAAGATATGGTAGTTTATATTATTGTATTGATAATGGTTTTACCTGTGGAGATCTGACTAGTTTTAGGTGTTTGGAAGCAAAACAGATTTCTTCCATGTTTTGCATCCCAACCTAAAAAGACGTGAAGTTTGTTTATTTTAAATTTTCCTAAGGAAAAAGTATTCAAATATTTTTAAATGTGTTTGTTTCATGCATGGCATGCCACATTGAAAGTGATGTGATTGGAGTTTACAGAGTTGATTGTTTAGAAGTGCAGTAGAAAGGAAGCAAGTGGCCCTAATTCTCTGAACACAAAGACTTGATGGAAAGAATTTTTCTAGTAGGTGTTTGGTTATCTAAATGTTATTGTAAGTAGTCTTACTTAAGGTGCTTATAAGACCTAGGAAGCAGAGAATATTAGTTATACCTTTGTCAACTCATCAGTGACTTGTTTCATGGTGTTTAAGATAATTTAATAATAGGGTTTGACAAGATTTATCTGATTTCCAAAAAAGCAAAGTTTGAATTCAGGAAAGATCAACTGTAATGAAGTCCTTTCTAAATAAGGGAAGAGGAAAGAAAGATGGTTTGCTTTTGAAGTCATCTTTTACATAATTATTTCCTTTTATTTAAAAGATTAAAATGAGGTCAAGAGACGAAACCTTTCAAATTTCAATTTTTATGGATTAGAAAACAGATACTTAAGTTTAGGCAGTGACTAGTGTACTGGGATATTTGAGAGAACTATGTCCTTACATGGATCACTTTTTTACTTTACGAATACAGGAAGGAAAGGGATGTTTAGTGTAAGGAAATTTGGAAAATGTTACCTAGAATGTTGGATTTCTACTACTTTGGAAAGCATTTGGGAGCAATACCAAAAGGAAACAAACTAATTAAGTGTGTGGTATGTTGCTCTGAAAGTCTTTACAAAACTAGGGCCTCTTGCTGAATTTTACAAGTAGGTTATTGCATCTGTGATTGAACTTTTTTCATAAATGGCTTATACATATATTTATTTGACATATATAATCTTCATAATTGGCCAATACACCTTGAAACATATTAATGGCAGTACATCTTGAGGTGCTTTGTTACCTTAACACATTTCAAAACTGAAATTTTGTATTCAGATTGTTTTATATTTCAATGTATTATGTAAAGAGGGATGTTTCATTAATAAACTACAAAGAAATGGGTTAATAGGAAGATTCATGTACATGCTCTATAGAAATATAGTAAAAATTCATTTGATGTAAATTCCTTTTTTAAAAATAATTCTCAGTCTTTTTGATATACTGGACTGAAGCTTCTGTCCTTTACTATGAAGAAAACATTTCTGAAGCGAACTGACAAGGCAAATACTGGGTAAAAATTAAGCATCTACAAATTTATTAACCCATTTGCATGCAATTATTAGGAAATGATTTTTTAATACGTAGCTAGTTCTTGTGGTGGTTAATAGTTCATGTGTTTGAAAGTAATAAAAGTATTTGTGTTGAACTCTTAATCAGGTCAATTGCTCTGAACAAATGCAGATTCATCTGATTTAATTTCTACCTTTTCTATATAAATTTTTAGAAAATTTGGTTCTCAGATGTGAGTTAAATAGGTTGATATATTTGTTTATTTGACAGAGGAACTGACTACAGTTAGCTTTCTAGTACCCCTTCCAGTCAAACAGTAACATCATTATATTAATATTCAGTAGTTATAAATTTTAATGATATAAGAACAGTAACAATTTTTTAATAAATCAAAAGACTGAAGTTGAAAAAAAGGGGTCGTGCCCTCTGCTGTCATAGAATTTTTTTTTCCTGTTAAAATCCTCTTCCATATTGTCATTATTGCTTCTTTATCCCATGACTTCAGTTTTCTGGTGAGGTAACCCTGAATGTAGTCATTTTGGTCAGTAGTTTTAGATTTAAGTAAGTGATCACACTTGTTTTAAAGTCTCTTTCAGCTCACCCATGAAAAAACAATTTTTTTTCATTTTTTTCTTCAAATATTGTCAAGTATTACTGAATCCGTATCAGCATTCAGGTTTAACCATGCAATTTGATTGAAAGAAATCAAACCATGGAAGTAATGATGGGCACTGTATCTGCTCAAGAGTAAAATTAGCCAATGAGTAATTATGTCAACTGGATCTCTTTAATCAGTTGTAACCTTTTTAAAGAAAAAAATCTGTATTTCTAATAAAACATAGAGCAGTATTGACTCCTTAAACATTCCAATAGCTTTGTCATGACAACTGTGACATATGATGTAAGTTGCTCTGAATGGCTAATAATTCAGTGGACATGAATTCTAAAGATTTTTATTTGCACTTAAAATGTTAAAGTAGTATTGTTCATTTGATCAATATTTCAATACCAGTCTGTATTGGAAACTTTAACTGCATTCTGAAAGGTCATTGTACGGATTCACTTACCTCAGATGTAATTTGGCTTCCAATTTAGCTTTTCTCATGATTTACATAAATAGTTGTTACTATCTTAAATGCAGAAAGATGGTATTCTTTGGGGAGACAAAAAACCTAAGTGAATGAAGCTAGACACAAAAGGGCTACACACTATATGATTTCATTTATATGAAATACTCAGAATAGGAAAATTCATAGAGACAAATCAGATTCATGGTTGCTGGGGGAGGGGAAGTGAGTGCTTCATGGGTATGGGGTTTTCTTTTGGATTGATGAAAATATTGTAGAACAAGATAGTGGGGATAGTTGTTCAATATTGTGAATGTGCCAAAATGCCACTGAATTGTATACTTCAAAATGGAGTATTTGACGTGTATTTTATTACAATTGAAAAGAATTTGATATTTGCAGTCATTGCCAAAGCCAAAAACTAGTATTCTCAATGTTTGTGAAATGCCCAAACTATGGTTTGTAATTGATTTATAGCATTAGTAACATGACAAGTCTATTCAGTTTAAAGTTCTGGTAAAATTTGTGAATCCCATCATATAAGTACTCCTGACAGCAGCAGAAATAAAGCTGTAATTCATCAAAATTTCCTTATATTTAATACTTATGTGACTAATTGAGTTTTGTGTCAATGTTTATTTTTTATCTTTTGAAATTTATGATTCCTTGTGGCACATCTCAATCACACTTTTTAAAGATATGTTTTTAAAATCATGCTTTGAAAAAAATTTGTATAATTTTCAAGGTTATTTTTTATAGTTTTATACTTTGTTTCTTTTGAAGAACAAATCCAACTATGTATTAGATAAGACTAAATAAATTGTACTGATGTATACATTTGTATGCTTTGATATTGTCTTGTGGGAAAACTTTCCGAATCTTAAGATTGGTAGGAACTCTAATGACCATTTAGTTTCTCATTTTATTATTTGGAGAAATGGAAGCTGAGGTTGTCAGTGTGTCATTCATTCAACAAACATTTATTGAACACTCATGTCAGATAATGTGTAGGCTTGATTCTGGAAGATTATTTCATGCATGAAACTTTCACAGGTAATTTCCTTTTTTCTTTTTTTTTTTTCTTTCATCATCTAGTTATTATGCCAGACACATGGACAAACGAACAAGTTTCAGAGGAGGGGCGGCTTTAGGCATAGAATCACTTTAAGTTGTTCTTCTCATAATTCTTCTCCAAACATCTTAAAGAGATGTTCTTCAGCACAGTAAAGCACACATGATCATAAGCAGTCTGCTT